TTTTTAGATATATCTTCTATATCTAAAAACATTGAATATTATTTTATCTCTGGGTCATTGCTAGCTACGGGTTAGGGTTATGAAATAAAAATTGGGTAACAACATTATCAGGAAACACGTCTACATAAAGACATGTAATGGAGAAATGCTCTATCCATTTTTAATCCCTACGGGGTAACTAATTCACGGCTAATCCCCTTGCCACGACAGCAGACGTATCGGATATGTAGACGCTAAATTCATGTTTAAGTATTCAGATGACTCAAACGGAAAATTCAGATTCGAATCTAAATCTTCATCTGACAACAAACTTGCAAAACAACCATATCAACAGAAATGACTTAATTGGAACACTTTATAAATGCGGTAAATTAGAACTACGGCGACATGTAATGCTCCATTACCAGATCGATATTCTTGCTCCACAAGAATGCAGGTGGTTAGGAAATGGTGGTGTAAATGACAAAGAAACAATTTTTATTTACTCCGGAAGAAACGAAGGCAATCTGACGACAGCACTAAGGCGACTTTAAAGGCTGAATACAAACTGAAATCGAGGTATATAAAAAAGTATATGTAAAAAGTCAGCGATGAAAGATAAGCGCAAATGGTTCAGCGAGCTTGCAGAGCTCGCCGAAAAAGCAGTTGGGGTATGAGACACTAGGGTGGCTCAGAAAAACTAAAATGCGATTTTTGATGAGCGCACCCCCTAGGAATATGCCATTGACCAAAAAAATGATATTCCCAAAGTTTTGGATCAATAGGATTAAAAATGACGTTGCGCCACTCGAGCAAAGTTGGGTTTTCAGTACAAAAAACAGAAATTTTTCAATTCAAGGTCATTTTTTATCTTTGTTACTTGTTTCAATAGTTATTAATATATACTCATTTGATAGATAATTGAAATATCTTTTTAATAAGATACTGATGAGCAAAATCGGTTAAAAATTATGCGCAAAACACAATAAATAGTTGAGCGACTGCGCTCTGTTTTCTATTTCATACCTTTTAGCTGGCATGCACAAGTACGTAATAGGTATATGCTACGATTTAGTTAATTATTTATAAAAAATTATAATATCAAGAAAACCCTTTTTTTCAGTAATTAATATATTGTGTTTATTATGTTTTATAACATAAATCTGACAACGTGAAGGATAATTTTTATGATAATGCTCGACTACTTGCAGAACATATGTTATTGTTTTTCCTCTTCATATTTTGTCAAAATCGAATTATAATCCATCATAAGTCTAATTCCTCTTTCTATACAATCATTTATCATATGAAGTCTGGCACAGAATCCAAGTGCATCTCTATAATCTTGCGTCTCCATCCATGGCGAAGGATCGAAACTGATAAAACTATTAGATAGGCAAAAACGATCAAAAAATTTTTTATCTTTTCGGTCACGAAATCAATAAGGTTCTTTGAGGAAAATAACTTCATTAGTGGGTTCCCACTCTTTATCTAACCAGAGATAGCTAGGAGCTTGGATCTGTGACCGGTAACTCTACAGTTACTATCTACGCAGATGGCTCAAAGATTGAAGGCGGTACGGGAGCAGATATCTTCTCGAAATATATGCAGATAAAACAGTACTACCGAATCCCTGCTACTTACAGCGTGTTTCACGGCGAGATATATGCTATTGAAAAAGAGGTCAACATTAGACAACAAAGTATAATTCGTCCTTCGAATATCATTATTTTTGTAGATAGGCCGCACTGAAAGCAATTGAATCTAAATCATCAAATATCATAAGGTCTCTCTTTGCTGGACATAGTACATTTCGACATAGCAATATTGAAGGGAATGAATTAGCAGATGACATGGCCGGAAGAGGTGCTGAACTGCATACAGGAGAGGCCGACCTCTAAATACGGTGACTATCAATTTATAAACTAACCGCGAAGACTGTAAGGTCGCTAGAATCTTATGACCTAAGTTGCTCCAACAAGTGGATTATGCAGAAGTTGCCAAGATGAAGAGGAGATAAAATCTATCAACCACTTCCTATGTCTCTGTCCAGGACTACAAACAAGGCTACTTTAATGTCTTGGGGATCCTTATTTTACTGGCTTGCAAGAGATAACGAAAGCAAGCTTATCGGATCTCCTCAACTTCATCTGGAAAACCAAATGGTTTAACAAGGATAACAAAGGTTAGCAACTCGCATCGCCTGGTAAAATTTTTTGAGAGCATCCCAATGGGCAATATATGTCGCCGAGTAGAAGTGCTGACAACTGTCAGCACGTGCCTTCCGAACATAACCTAACCTAGTGTGGGTTAAAATTTTCACACATATGCTCCATCGAGAATCTAAACTAGGAGTGATAAATTCAATCGTTCTGTCTGCGTTATCCCAATTTTGTTGATTAAAGATTCAGCTTTCATTTTGAGACAAATTTCTTCATCGAATTTATTCCAATTAAAATCAATGGAATTTTTAGCCGCTCTTGCTTCGTTTGCTAAAAAGATATTAACTTCAGTCATACTTCCTGTACGACCATTTTTTGTTTGCTTACGAAAAAATTCTTGTTTTGACTACTTTTTCAATTCTATTGTCTATATAAATTATTAAGTAGAAATGTATTATTTTTATTTTTTATTTATGTTTCTTCCGTTTCTTGTAAACATTTGCGATTGCATTGTGCATGCCAGCTAAAAGCTATAAAATAGAAAATAGAGCACAGTCGCTCAACTAATTATTGTGTTTTGCGCATAATTTTTAACCGTTTTTGCTCATCAGTATCTTATTAAAAAGATATTTCAATTATCTATCAAATGAGTATATATTAATAACTATTGAAACAGTAACAAAGATAAATGACCTTTGAAATTGAAAAATTCTGTTTTTGTACTGACAACCCCAAACTTTCTCGAGTGGCGCAATGTCATTTTTCCTATTGATCCAAAACTTTGGAATATCTATTTTTTGGTCAATGGCATATTCCTAGGGGGTGCGCTCATTCAAAACATCATTTTTAATTTTCCCCCTTATAACGTGAGCCACCCTAATGAGACACCAAGAAGTTGCACGAAATTTCCAAACAGCTAACTGGCAAAAATAACTTGAAATAAACCAATAAAAGACAAACTAGGAAATTTGTTGGCAAATAAAGAAAAAAAAACGAAGTATTTTAAATAATTCAGTATCAGAAAGTAACAAAGCAGCGGAAGCGGCTGAAGCCGAAGATATGTGGATCTATACGCAATTACAATACTCCAACGAGTGTGACTCCAACGAAAAAAGAAATGATAGTAGCAGTTAAAGCCCTGAAAACCAGCAAAGCTGCTGGCATTGACAAAGCATACGATTAATACTTAAAATGAAGCCCAGAATTGGTGGTAGATATTAATTTTTTTTATTTTATTTTATTAAGTACATCCTTTTTATTGCACTATCTTAAAAACTAACTTAAAAGCTAACAATATATTCATTTAAGTATAATTTATTTAGATATTACAAAAATTAGAAAATATGATAAAATTGTGTTGAAATATTAGTGTGCTACAAATTCAAATTAATATTATTATATAATGATAAAGAAATATAGAAATTAAATTGAAATTAACATTGAATTTAAAATAAAAATTATATATTTAAATAAGTTTAGTTAACAATAACATTTTAAAAACTCTAAAATTACATGCATTTCTGGTTGAGCTTGGCAGAACGTTTCATAATCGGACTGAATGAATACAGAAAAACGTGGTGGTAGCAACAAAATTAAATCTTGGAATTATGAAAAGAAGAGATCTGTTGGAACGAGTAGGCTGCAAGAAATTATAAAGGTACTCCGAATATTTATTAGTTTTCAATTTAAACAGAAATAAGCAGATTCGAATATTTAAATACTGCTGAATGTCACAGCCCAGAATGGCATTCCTATAAACTGTTAGATGGTCAAACCGTTTAAGGTCGTATACGTATCTAGTACTACAGTTTACTACAGTTCTCAATTTAGCAAAGGACTCACAGTCAAGTTTGGAGTACACCAACGCGGCATAAGTAATTATAGGCATTATCAGTTGTTTGACCAATAAGCCACGCACAACGACTGGGGTATACTTAGTAGATAAATTCAAATATCTGATGCAAATAAATGATTTCCTAACAACATTGACATGATCAGAGGCAAGTAACTTTGAATTCAAAGAAAATCCTAGACATTTAACCGATGTGCTATATTTAATAATTGAGTTTCCAATCGCCACAGGAGATAATGCGTCTTAGTATAATTCGAACCTAGTAATCGGCAAAATGATGGTTTTATTTGCATTTGGCAGCATATTGTTTTCAACTGCCCAACGATGTATGCATATAAAATCTATATTAATCTTTGTGACAAGGTTATTTAAATTAACACTGCGACACGAATAATACATTTGTATATCATCAGCATATCCATGTAGCCTCGAAAATTGAC